ATAAGTCAATTAAAACCAATTCTAAAATATCGATATTTCTACAGTTTTAAAAGTTACATCCCTAGTTCTATCCGCCATTACAGGTGACCAAGTGAAGTTTATGTAGGCACGATTTTTTCCTAGTTGTTTCTTATCCATACTCTTATCATATCAGTGGAAATTACTAATGATTTAATAATTAATTTCTTTTATTTACCGAAGTTACATTTGATAGAGATTACTAACAATAAAAAACTCTTACTTTACTAATCATTAGTCATCTTCTAAGTAACGCTGCAGGCGCTGGTGCGGCCGCTTTTGTGGCAGAGATCCTTTTTTGTGTCGTTTAGGGTCGAAACATGTGGGCAATGGGGCACATTCGGTGTATAAAGAAATAGCCCGTAAGCTAATCGCCTCTACTCATGACCAGAGGGCTGGCTATTTCTTCGGACAGAAAATAAGCATTGCCATTCAACGTGGCAATGCTGCCAGCCAGTCTCCTGGGCACTTTCACCAGTGATAGTGATGCGGATGAATTCTTTGACTGAGAGAATTTAGTTTTTCTTTTATCTGTTTTTTATTCGCTGTTTTATTTTATTTAGTTTTATTAGTTCCACTTCCATAGAATAGCTATGGCGCACCATTTCCAGACTGTGCTACCCCCAAGACGTTAAAAAAACCCCTATAATAATAACTAGCGAAATTGTCTTTGCTGGAATTTAAAGATCGCTATAAGCATTTTTTGTATAAATAAATGCTATTGGCAGATCAAAACCATAGACATCAAAACGTTCAAATTGGTTGAGCGCGAGGTGTGTGCCACGATTATATTTCCTCACTACCTAATTTCCGTTTTTTTTTTGTGGCATACAAATAAAAAGTTAACAAAATTAGTAAATAAGCTCCAATTTATTTCCAAGTAATAATACAGTAGGTACATTTATTAGCATACTTAACAGGAAGTATATGTCTAACCATTTTATGTAATGTTCAAGCTAACATTCAGAAAAACAGATGATAGGTAGGAAGAATCCCACCTATATTATGGGCTATTTAAATTTTTTAGGTCCAAATATTAAGTCAGCATCGGGCGCGCCTTTGGGATGCTGGTATTTCTGTCGAACATGTTGCCCTCTATTGGGGTTACCGCTGCCTCCTGACCCGCCTCCACTTTCTGCGCTGTATTCCTCTTCTTCTTGCCTTTCTGATATGTTTAAGGTCAGACTACAAAATACAAAAGTTATTTTTAATTTAAAAATATGCATAAAAATTTCGCATGTGACGGTTAAAGTAAAAAATACACATACAGTTTCATTCTCTCCATTTCTTGTTTATCAGCTAGAGCTTGTTGCTGTAGGTTGCTTGCCAGTTCTGGAGGTGCATTAAATGACTTGTATTGTGGCTTAGTACCCTTCCGTACCATCAAGACGAATTCAACGCCTTCTTTGCCTTGCTAGAAACGAAAAAAAAAACTGTAAAATCAGTGACATATGTAAACGTATTTCTTTTATAATTTTCCAAGTTCTATGCATACTGACCAAAAGCTGTTCGTAAGTTTTCTTGGTGGTTTGACGACAAGTCATTGGGACAGCGATGTCTCGCTGTTGTGGCCGAGTCTCGCGCTGTCGTTCAGCTATGTTCTCCATTACCATTTTCTCGAAAGCAGATTCAAATTCAACATCTTCCACCTAAAAAGAGAAGTCAGAATATTAAATAAGTACATCTATTATCGTAATACTATTTTCAAAATTATGTAGCTTACAGGTTTTGGAGCTGGTCTTCTAGGTTCGATTGTAATATCATCATTTTGCTGTAGTTCATTATCTTCATTTCCAGTGTTCTCAGTTATAGGCTCCTCATCAGAACTTTCTTCTGGTAATTGAGGATTGTCTGTTTCATCATCAGTCTCAATTATGGTATCCAAGCCCTCATTAACACTGTCATCACCCTGGTCATCTGCATCATTATCTTCTTCCCCTAGTTCTGGGTACAATGTTTGACGTAATTCTTCTATTGCATCTTTACATTCCTGCCAACTAGTAAACAGTGTCAGCTTAGGTCTTAATGTCGTCAAACATTCCTGGTATATATACCTAACATAAATAGGAAACATGTTGTCATCAGTCCAGTGAGGATCAGATTGTTTAAACCAATAATAATTTTGGAAGAAAGTTAAGAAGTAATCAAGACGCTTTTTGCTAGAGCCACTGTTAAAATACGCTCCACAAGTCTCGAGAAGGGCACAGACTAGTCTAATTCTGAACACATTATCAGGAAGGTCAAGAGGAGAGACATTGTTGTGATCATTTGTTACTCCAAAAGTTATAAAAGAATACAAGACTGTAAAAACATCTCGTGAATCTAATAGCTTGTAGTTGTACAATTCTCCCAGATATCTGACTGTAGCAATTCTCCTCTGATTATATCTTGGGTGAGGATCTTCCATAGTAACTCTGATCTCTTCCAGAATAGTATCTACTACAGCTGGGGCCACTGCCTCTTGCCACGCAGCTAATTCTGCTGTCAGTCTTGCCAAAGCCCGCCTGGCACTTGCTCTTACTCTCCAGCCCCCTGCCAAGTGCTGTATAGCAATGGCTGCAGTATCTGGGTCATCCCAATTCAGTTTACGCATCAGTCTCAGTATCTTTTCTTCATTGCTTTTTTGCAAGTCTTCATGGAGTACTTTTCTTATAAACTGATGCATAGGAGGTTCTTCTTCTTTTGGCTGAGCTGGAGCTTCAGGTGGACACACATAATAAAATGCATTTTCTATTTGTGTCACATAGCGTGAGTCTAAAGCTGATACAGTCTAAAATTGAAAATAAATGGATTAAAATTATGGTAGCTGTTACAGATCATTGTCAAGCCATAAAAGTGCATTAAAAAATTAACAAACCTTTTTTCTCATCATTTGTTGCAAATAGATCATGGTTCTTTGATGAGTGTCTGGATTACAGTACAAAAACCTACCACACGTCTCAAGGAGATTGCACGCCATTTCTATATGATGGTGTTTAAAGTCATGCAACAACACTTTCAGACAATAGAGTGCTTCCATTTTCGAATATAGACTAAACTTAACCAACTCGCCAATGAACCTTACTACTTTGATCTGTAAAAATTAACAGTGATTATAAATGTGGTGGCCATTTCGATAGAAAAAGATGAAATAAGGATAAAGATAATTTACCTTTGATTCAATATTGATCTGATCTTTTTTCCTAACATGATACTTAAAGTCTTGTTTCAACATCTGACACAAATCTACACACACATCTGGCAGAACTGGGTAGAGGATAGCAGCAAACCTTGAGTAAAAGGGTAATAGATCTAATCTAGTTCTGGCAACACTGAAAAGTACCCTTGTCAGTTTCTTTCTGTTGTTCTTAGTATTGAGATTCAGAACAAAATCTACTGCAGCATTGTCAATCAACTCTCTGTTAATACAGTTAGGTAGTTCATTCAAAAATGCATCCAGGGCATACCTACAAAAAATAAAAACAAGTATAAATCAGTTCTATACAGATTATGGTATGTAGTTGAATTACTGATAATTGCACAATTGCACAAATGCACATACTTGTTGGAGACATTGGATGGCTGTGCCTCTTCTTGCTCCATGTCAGGTACTGGCAGAGGTCCCTCACTGTCACTCAGTTCATCTTCCTTCAGATCTTCATCCAACATTTCTTCTGTTACTGTTTCAGGCTTACTCTTTACTGTCTGTAATTATAAAATAAAATAAATATTAACTATATTGGTAACTAGAAGAACAAACATACAAGGTCATGTAAGTGAAGATAATCTTTTTGATTTTAGTATACAAAAGTTGATGATAAGAAAAAGAAAGCACAAAATATTATTAACTTACCTCCTTCACTTGATAGTTTGGCATGAAAACTTTTAAATCTGGTAAGCTAGTATAAAATGTCCTGGTGTCTTCATCTTG